GGGGATAACAGAACCGATACAGCGCATCATGAAAAAACATCGGCACTGCAATAAAACCACACACAAAACTATGTCAACTGCTGGTACACCCCAAGGACAAGATCGAGGGAGAACAAAAGTGCAATGTCATATACAAAATACCATGCAAGTCTTGCAATAACACATACATCGGGGAGACAGGCAGACCATTTTACACCAGAAAGAAAGAACACCAGAAGGAATGTGAAAAGAAAACAGCCACACGACTCACAAGAGCACAAAAAGAAACAGCACTACAAGAACAACTCAAATCAGCAATATCGGACCACAAACATTCACATCATGGACTGGGACAGGGCAAGCATGATCGGGATTGAACAGGACAGGCACAAACGATGGATCAGAGAGGCAACTGAAATCAGAAAGCGCGCTGAGAGGACCATGAACAGGGACGAAAGGGGCTTCATGCTCTCGCACGCTTGGGACTCCCTGCTCCAGAAAAAGTAGCCGGCGGGGGAGTGCGGCGCGCCTGGTGGGGCGGTCGGGTCTGTTGGGCTCGCCACGACATACCATTTCAGTGTGGGCGTGGCTTGCCCGGCGGATCTGGGGGCTCTGCTGGGCGTGCTGCAGGTGCCGGCTGTCAAAATCTGCCGGCTGACACGTCACCCGCTGTCAGTGTCATCTCTGAAGAAGGCGAGCGTTGTCACCGAAACTGTCAGGTAATAAGAACCACACTCTACATGTCTGAATAGAGAACCTGAACATTATATTATCACTAAGAAGACATAATGAAATGTTTTCGAGCTAATTCCACAAGAAATTTTAGGGAGCTTCTTCCTGGCACGACCTTAGTCATGCATATGAGGTACGATGAATTCGTGAGGGTCACATATGTGCAACAACTACGGGCAGGAACTGTCACGAGTCACGATAATGCGAGACACCTCAACACTAGGAGTTGTGTTGGACATGTTTTTGTGACCACTTTTAGGTTTCTGATTTTCCGCTGGAGCTTAAATGTATGCAGAGAGAAAACTGTGAGAGTTATGGACTTGCTGTACTGTGTGTTTTTGGATTCCTGTTTTCTCTGTGTGCTTGGCTGGCGTTGCACTTCACTTTCAGGCAGGGCGGGGCCGATCGGAGGAGGACGCTCCCTCATCGGCACAGCTGCGGCTCATTGCCTCAATCAGCAGACAGGTTAAAGCCACTGCTCACCTGGGGCCTCATTTATCAACAGTGCCTACATACAGATATGTGCGCAGAGCGTGCGTACGAACATTCCTACGCAAAGTATGGAATTTATCAACTTGTACTTATACTTAGGAATGTACGTAAATATACGCACAACTCTGACCGTGCGTACACACATAATCTAGCGGTAGAACAGTGAAACTACAAATAGAAGGCATTCAGGGATTTTGACCACCGGCACATTCCAGCGTGAGGTTGAAGACATATGCGGCATTTCCCAGCCACCACTGAGCAGGATCAAGCCGACAGTGTTGGATGCCATAACTCCCCTGGCCCCAGCCTACATGCAGTTCCCTTACAGCCATCACCGATGAGCCCAAATCAAACGGGGACTTAAGGCCGTCGCTGGATTCCCAAACATATGTGGAGCCATAGACAGCACCCACATCACAATCAAAGCAGCATCACTAAACGAGCTTAATTTTGTAAATAGATGAGGCTTTCATTCAATCAACGTACAGATAATTTGCGATGCGCATTTGTGGCTATCCAACGTTGTTGCCCGGTGGCTTGGAGGAACACACAACTCATTCATTGAGCAGAACAGTTCTGTGGGTCTCCAAGCAGGAGCTGCTGAAGACAGCTGGCATATTGGTAAGTGTTACCGCGTGTGGGATGTTTTAGCTGAACTTAGTTTGGTTATTAAAATATCTTATCTGTAGGTGATCAGGGCTACCCACTGGGTGAAAGCTCGGTATTAATTCATCCTCCTCCAGTTGCAGCCATTTCTCTTTCATGGACTGTGACGCGTTTTTTGGCACTGAGCTTAACGTCGAACCACTTTTTGAAATTTTTGCCAGCGATATCTCCTTCTGACCCAACAGAAATAACTGCGGTGGTTATCTTGTCTGCAGTATTTTTTCTTTCGCTGTTTATCCCAATATTTCACGCACCAAACAATATTTTCTGGTTTGCTTCAACCTCGCTGACAAGTACCACGATCTCAGTTTCATAAAAGTTCCTGTTTTTCGCCCTTTTTGCCACGATGGTGACGACAGGGAAGGAAAAAGTAAATCTTCACTTGCTTTATAAAGACGTGTGTTGTTGCCGTATATGGTGATTTGGAGGCATTTCTGAAAGCAACGTGCACGAGCACGGAGGTTAAAAACAAGTGGGATTTATCAACACTGATGTGCGTACGACTCCGTACGCACGTTTGATAAATACAGATTTTTTTGTACTTACGCACACTCTAAATTTCATTCGTATGACAGAATTTAGAACCTTTTCTATGTACTGATGATAAATGAGGCCCCTGGACTCCTGTGCCAGATGATTGTGCTCACCACGAGTGGTATATACATTCAGGCCGTTAGCAGCAGTTTCGAGCTCTTGTGTTTTTCTGCTAACTATTTTGAGTCACGAGTAACTCCAATATTTCCTCTGTGTTCTCCAGCATCCTCTCCACCGGTCCCAGAGCCCAGCTGTCCTCCCTTCATGCCAGCCTTTACCCCCACAGCAACAGAAGTCGGATTCTCATCTTCCACGAGCACCAGCATGAGAAAACCTCCCCACGAGCACCAGCATAGAAAATCTCCACACGAGCACAGAAAGACCCCCTCCTGCACCGCCACTGCAACCTGCGCACCTGCCCCGGATTCCCCACCTGCCTCCTGGTGTCCCACACCCCCTGGATTCCCCTAAAAAAACCTGTTCTTCCCTTTATTTCCTGTATCCTCTTCGTTTGGGTTCAGCACACACACCTGGTGGCCACGAGCCACCACACAAACATCACATTGGTCAGCACTGTATAACACTGTCCAAATTCTCTGGTTGAAGTTGTTTTTAAAATGTGAATGTGTTCTGCTTTCTGGTCTCCTCTATGACAGTGAACTGAATATCTTTGGGTTGTGGACAAAACAAGTGATTATGGTATCTTGAACTTTTGGAAACACTGACATTGTTCACCATTTTCTGACATTTTATTTAAAAAAAAAAAGTCGGTTCAATTATCTTTACCAAAAAAACAAAAAACAAAACTGTTGCTTGTGAAAGGCTCCAAAATGTGAGAATTTGTTCAGTTTCTTACTCTTGTCTTCTTGTGTTACTAGAGAAATACTAGATTCCTTTACAATCAAAGTATTTGTTGGTTGCAGCTCTATACAACAGCATATCCCTAAACAAGTGGGAAATGCTCACAACTAAGAATCTGCATATAGTAAAGAAGTACTTTTACTTGTTTTTTGATTAAATACCTGAGCTCTAAAGGAGGATACAAGCACATTTAAATGAGAAGGTATCCAATCCTTAGATTCCTACTTGTAGTTCCACAAAATCAACACATTGTTGAACTAAAGTCAGTTTGTAATTATCTTGACTTTCTTTGGCTTTGTGAGATTATGTTAATGAACAAGAATGGTACTTTGCAAACACAGAGGATTCTTCAATTAAATGTATTTTGCCCTATAATAAACCAACAATATATTAGACTAAGCACAATTACCAGCAGCTTCTAGGTGAAAGCAAATGACAAACCACACACAGGGCAGGACAGATGGATCAATATTCTGAGGAGGAGCAGACTGAGACATTATAGAGCAGCTTGTGTTTGTAGAGATAAGGCAATATGGAACAGAAGAGGGGTGGAGCGAGGCTTGTATCTCTGTCTGTTTGCGCGTCTGTGTCAGCAAATTAGTGCAGAGTGCTGCGCCGTGCTGAGGATGGGGCTTTTCAATCCAATATGCCAGAGTCAGCTCTCCGGGTTACATAAGGGATCTTTAGACTTTCCTCCCCCGCACATAAAAACACACAACTTGTCTTCTTTGATGGTGCGAAGTCATCAAGCGGTGTCTGCCTGCAATCTAATCATCACAGTAACAGCTTAAAGAAGCAAGCACAGATAAGCCTGTTTGGTCTGCAACTGGGCAAAGGTTGACAGGAACTGAGACACACACCTTATTTCCAAGCAGTTCCACCCTGCAGGTCGATTTGGTTCAGTAAGATGTGCCAGAACAAAGAGTCAACACTAAGGACACCAGCAACAACCATGGCACTATAACTCTTAGTTAACCCTTGGAACAACAAGCAGTTTCTGGGTGTTTTTGGTTTTTTTTTTTGCTCCTGTCATATTTTCCCTCACTGTGGACTCATTTTTTATTGTGATATAAAGTCTAACACCTCTATGGAAACAGCACAATCATGGCTAGAGGTAGATAGGACTCAGAAATGCCTTCTGTTCAGTATGACAGTGAAAGTGCCATAAATCATAAAAAAGAGAAATCAAAAGTTCAATTTCTTTGGCTAACTATTTTACAAAAAAACTGAAAAACCTAGCATTGACATCTCCGGTTATTTTTCAAGTTTTCACAGGGGTTACCAATACTGGGGGGAATAAAGGCTCTACCTACAGTATAAACTAACATACAACCAATTACAACCTCTACAAACTCTCTCCCTCTTCTCTGCACATCAATTGTGGAAAGGGGTCTTCCAGCAACTTGCTGCTCTGTATACCATTTGTAAGTCATGTTTTATTGAACCAGTGTGGGTTTTTTTTCTTTTAATCTACTCTGTGCTGTGTAAACACAGCCTGCAGTTCAAATGACATTCAGAATTTTTGAAATAATCTAAAACAAACATGAATTATCAAGCTTTTAAGCTTAGATTTTGTAGACTTTTATGAGCAGTTCCATCATGAAAAACCAAATGTAAGAACAAATTTCTGACACTTTATTAAAATTCATTTATTCTACATGTGAAAAATGTACATGTAAAACTGTAACTAGTTAACAATTTATAAAATGTAGAACTACCTTTTTTAAAAAAAAACAAAACGTTAAGACCTGTGGGCAAAAATAATATTTTTTTGCAAAATAAATGCTCAAAGATATCCAACTTTCAAAGTTTCTTTCTTTCTTTTTCTTTTTTTAAAATGATTTATGGGATTCTAACTGTGTCATACTGCACAAAGGACGTTTTTGATTCTATCTGCTTCATGGTTGTGCTGTTTCATAGAGGTGCAGGACTTCATATTGCAGTGAAAAAAGAGGCCACAGTGGAGTTCAGAGGGTCAAAAAGCTAATGATAAACTATCCCAGCAGCACCATGGGAGCCTATTAGAGATTTTAATACTAATGCACTATTGACCATAGGACGTAGGCCGAGGGTTTGTTGCCGCTAAGCGAGCAAAGAGCAAGATTTGGGGTTTGAGGGTCTTGTCCTACCTTCGGCAGTCAGACTGCAAAAACGCTCTTTATAATAAGAAATCTCTGGAAAACACAAACACACAACCATGCAGAGTGAGTAAAACACAGAGCTTCTCATATGTTCTTTTAGGCTGACTGGAGGCTGACACCGACCTTTTGTTTCACCTCTGTGAACCTCAGTGCCACCAGGACAAAGCATAACACAGTGACATTGAACAATGCCACTATTAGCTGTGGAAACATCCTACTGCAGTTCACCTGTTTTTGAACTCAGAGGCCCAAGCTTTTCAAAAGGCACAATGACAGTGTGCCGCAAGCATGCATAGCATGCCACTGCAAACACACACACACGCACATCTTTACAGTACTGAGACAAAGTTCATGTCAGAAGTTAAATATATAGTAGATGTTTCTAGATGAGATCAAATGGGACCTACAAAGACACAGATCAATGGATTACTGAAAAATAAACTGAGACACCAAGAATCCACAGCCCTGTGAGCAGCACAGCTGGGGTTTGTCGAGTAAAATGCTAACATCAGCATGCTAACGCATTCTAAAAGGTAGCTCTTCAATGGGTTGGGGTGACATAGAAATGTGGCATCAACCTAATATTGTGTGTAATTTAAACCCAGATTTCTGCTTTAGCTGATATAAAACCAAATTCAAATTGAAGCAACTTAATGAAATAACATTTTTCTTTACCTTGAATTTAGGTTTTCATGTCCCCTTCTCCATCTTAACATGCCCTGAATACTTCAGGTGGTTAAGACTGTTCATTAAAAATCTCTCAACACCAACAATATCATAAAGCATGTTGTGTTATCTCTCAGAAACCACAACTAAGAAAATAACAGGACAAGCATGTGCAAGCACGACTTATTATGACAGAAATTGATATCAGTAAATTGACTAAAGCATATCTGACACAGATTTCTAACAGGTTTATCAAGAGTTTTGAGATTCTGTCAAATCAACTTTAATGTTGCCAAGCTGTAAAAAATAAAAAAGGGTGATATACCTGATATAAATCCCCTTTTAGCTTAACAAGTTCGTATTTGTTTGCTTTGATTATGAAAAAGGCAAAACACCTATTTATTACTCATTTACTCTATTTAATGAGCAATGAAACTGAAGTTATTATTGTTAGTGAATTATTAACTGCTCCAGTCTTTGGTGAAGTTGCACCTTCCGTTTATGTGTGTAACTGTTCTTGACCCTGTTGCTTGTGTGTCAGTTGGTTTAGAACCATGCTTGTTCCACACTCTGATCTGATCGATCTTGACTGAGGTTAAATAATTTAAAAAAGGAAAAAAAAAAAAGAGTCCTGTGTTTATGTCTAAACATTTTAGCTTGTTAGAAGTTATAATTAGAACCTTTTTTAAAGGGGACATTTTGACCATTGTCTTTCCTTTATCTGGAGTTAGATCGTGGTAGCAGCCGTCCCTGAAACGTTTTCCAGCTCCTTCTGGGAGATCCCAAGGTGTTCCCAGGTTAGGTGAGATAAGTAATTCTTCCAGACAGTTCTGGTGGGGCTCCTCATTTCCAAAGGAAGGCATCCTAGTCTGATGCTGAACCACTTCAACCGGCTCCTTTCGATGTCAGATCTCCTCCCCCTATCTCTAAAGGCCCTTTCAGACAAAACCGGATTTGTAATGCACATGCTGCTGGGTTCAGAGCACTGGTGAAGTCGTGGAGCACAGAGCAAATAGGCAGTATTTGTATTTGTAAGTAGTATGAGTATTCAAAACCTCCTGCGTGACTACACCACTTCATCCTTTCAAGTGGGAAGCTCCCAGCTTGTTGCAAAAACCTCAATAATTAAGACGTCTATTTTAAACATGGGACACTGGTATACGTCATAGCATAACATAATTGAACTTTGAGCATTGCGCATGCGTTTTGCTCAGCATAGCAGCAAACTATCATTGGAATTAATGAGTTTTTGAGGGCATTTCTGTGGTCACGTCCCAGAGCCCAAGACCATAGGTGAGGGTAAAATAAAAAATAAATGAGGGTAAATCAAAAGTTTTCTTCCAGTACAAAACCTGCATTACTGCTGATACTGCACCAAACTGTTTGTCAGTCTCACACTGCATTTTACTGTCACATCTGAACAAGATCCCAAGATACTTATACTCCTCCTGGTGCAGCAACTGATGCAGAGAATACAGCTCTCACTTTAGTTTGGTAGCATGTGATAGCAAGAAACCAGTCATAAATGTATTCATAACTAGGCTGCTTCATTAATAACAATTACAACAGTTGAATATGTACAATAGAAATAGAATTGATGGCATCTAAGCTTCATGTGATGCTGTGAGGCTCTCCTCTGTTTACTCTTACAATGATATTGGTCCTGACACATACTTGAGCCCTCGTATTAATAATGGCTGCATTGTACTTCGGGGAGCCCCTGCTTCTGTGGTTGCTGGTTCAATGTAATGGCATACTGGGGCCCCGAATGGAACTGATCTATCACTGACACACCTCAGCTGTCCCTACTGTGACAGGTCAAAATGTCTGCCATGAAAAAGGTTTAAATATAGCATCTGAACGTAGTAGTAGAGGTACTGATAAGGGTTTTTTTTAAGGTTGAGAGCCTTTTACAGGTTAAAGATATTTCCTTGAGCTAGTTTATTGAGCGAAAGTGATGATATCAGAAGGCGTCAGCAGCCATGAAGCCACAGGGTTCAGCTGAGCCACGTGATGACCCTGGATCTGTAGTATACTAAAGGGAAGGCAGGGAAAGGGTGGGTTAACAAAAGAGGTGGGAGGCTGATGGTGGAGGGATGATCCCTAAAGATAAGGAAGCGAATTAAGTCAATAAATGAAGGAGTAAAACACTAAAGGAGAAAGAAAAGGACACGCAGGTAAAGGTGGGTGACAGTGTACAAACTAAATTCTGACAAAAGGGTTTTCAGAAGCAAAGCATGACAGGAAAGTGAAGTTTGGCAACAGAGAGGAAAATGTAAAATAAATATCCAGAAGGATTATTTTTCTCACCAACATTCTGAAAACCAACAGTGCATGGGGCATCATCAAAGTCTACACAGCTGATGTCCAGGGGGTCCAGCTTCGCTATGTGATGCCCTCGTACCTACACACAGGGCAAGACGGCTCAGCGCATGTGTGCATGCTTCATCAACATATTTCAGCAGATCAGTGTCTGTGTGTGTCCCCTTGTAAACTGCTGACTGCTTCCTTCAAGATTTCCTAACATGTGTCTACACATGCACCAGATGCAGCCAAACTTGAGACTGATACTATGCCCACATTAAGTCTTTAAATTTGTACATTGACTGCATTTTCTGTCTGTTTCTTATTTGCATCTTTGGTGACTGGTTCTTTTTCATTTCAATTAGTTGTATTTATCTGACAGCTTTACATCATGTGTTCTGTGTTTCTGTATATTTGTGTATTGTGTTTATACTCTGTACTGACTGTTATTGTGTTGTTCTAACTTGTAAAGGTCTGACTACATATGCAAATCAGCTTAAAGTTTTAATCCAGTACAGTGCATTGCACACAACTGCGCCATTTATGTACATGGATTCCTTTTAATTAATCAATATATAAATATTGATTTCAAATGAAGATGCTTGGTATAAAGTTTGCACAAAAACTGTTTTTGTATGTGTAGTCTGACATGTAAAACTGCTATCCCTCACTTTGACATAGAAGTCAGAGTAAGCTTGTGTCAAGAAAGTGTCCTTATCCTTTCAGGAATCTAATCAGTTAGCTAGTGTGTGTGGTGGTTTACTGTAAAATAAACTAGATTAAAATTACTTTCAGTGCATACAACACCAGTTTATAACTTGACCAAGAAGTCTGAAAAATCAGTTATTCACTCCAAGAGGACAAAATCCTTTTTCCCCCAGCAGCAAACTGAACTGACGACCTGCTGTCAGTTCTTGCTGTTCTTCCTTATCATGTCACTGTAGGATATCTTGTACTGATAGCAGAGGCCTGAAGATAACAGTCACGTGTTTGTGCTGCAGTCCCTCTGATATGATTTGTGTTTGTAGTACCTGGTATGCTCGGATCAGTGTTTGTACTGCTAGATGATCCTCCACCAGCTTCTCCACGTTGGGCTGAGCCCCCACCAGTGTCTGCACACTGGCCAGTCCCTGAGAGGTCCCACTGATGGGTGGAGGGCTCTGGTAGGCTGAGCCAGGTGGAGCTCCAGCATTGGCGTTACGGAAAAATATATCCCAGGACTGTAGGAGGAGAAGAAGAGGCAACTTACTCAGCAGCTTTAAACAAACAGACTAATGGTTTGACTTCTGCAGTGCCCTCACAGCATAATTTACACCGATATACAGTTTCTTGGATACACAGAGTATTATCTTTTTTAATTTCATAATAAAGATAAAGTTTGTTGACATGCACAACCCACATGTGCACCACAACATGAGTGAGGAACAGGAGGGAAACATTGAAAAGGAACATTTGGTAGCTGTAGGGCTGCACAATTAATGGAATATTTGTAATGGTTTGGCTTTACACAATTAAACAACATATTTGACTGTGATATTGACATTTTAATGCTACACTCAGACAACAGCCCATCTACATAAGATCACTTAGTTTCAGCTCACTCCTTTCTGAGTTGCAGAGCTTGAGTAAGCTAACGTGCATGTGAGGTGTTTAGAGAACATAGGTAGAGAATAACTCTACATACTGTAAGTCTGACTGTCTACTTTATTTATGCAGAATAACAACTGAAAAATGTCACTGTTTGCATTTTTCCTGATGCGCATAAAGTAAGAACATGGCAGCAGCAATGAGAGAAACTGTTTGGGGCCTGAATGAGAGAAGTCCAGTCTGTTTAACAACTGATGATGTGGTGAACACAGTGAGGGCTGCAGAGTTTTGACAGTTTTCTACAGACTGCAGCGTGCCATGGTGAGTATACACAAGCTGTATTTACTAAGAGGTTTCTTGATATTGCAGAAAAACCAAATATTGCAATGTCAGTATTTTCTAATATCATACAAGTCATCTGCATATGTGAGAAGTTTGACCTGATAATAGCATCAATGTCATTGGAATTACTCCTGTAAATGTCTCAGATAGCTTTAGAAAATTTCACAGCTGCTGTTGATTGCTTGAAGAAAACTCTGTTGATCAAGGTCATTCGGACTCATCATTTGAGGGCTACGTGTGTGGATCATACTTGATAAACCACTCATTAGTTTTTTTATTTGGTATTGTACATCAAAGTGGTGGACCACTGATTAACTGATACCGCTCGTGAAGCTGAATCACCAACCTGGTGACCTTCCATCTCAGCTTCTAACCAGGGAGCAGAGTAATTGGCTTAAAGCTGCAAGAAGCTTTAAAGATCCGTGTTGTCACAGTACATCAACACTTGGGTTTCATTACCAACAGAAAATAACTGCAGGCCATAAAAATCTTGATAAAACATCACAAATTGTGTATCTATAATTAAACTGGGACAGAATTTAATACAAGTGTCTGTCTTCCACACATCCCAACATTTTTCAAGTTTTGCACCCAGTGTTTGTAATAGAACATAAGTCCACAGTGTGAAAGTGTGTGTTCACGGCTTCCCAGTTAATGCACCGATCAGCTTATTGACATAATCTGACGCTGTTCTTCTTGGCCCACTACCAGCAAAGTTTAAAATGCGAGATAAATTCATTTTAAAACTTACTACTAATTCCAATTATTGGTTTTGAAACAGCTCCAGAGGACAAACATTTAGGCTGCACATGAGGCCAAAAACCTACACATTTCCATTTGTCATAACACTGCACCTGGCATGTAGCAAGACTGTCTCTGTTTTTGTGTATGTCCAGCCATCCAGCCAACAGCTATGCCGACTGTAGCCTATGACATATGCCCTGTACAGCTCACAACACAAAAAATCATGTAACCATGCACCCTTACATTCAACAATCAATGCATGCATGTCTTTGAGCTGTGGGAGGAACCAGGGCTGCATGGATAAAATTAAAATAGTTTAAAAAATAAAAATAAACAAAAAAAAATTATCAAGTGCCAGGTCCCAGACAAAATACGGTGAAGATCTTGGAAAGTTAATACATTCAAAAACAGTGAATGGTGTAAACAGGGAAAATAATGAACATCTGTAAAATAACTCTTTTTTTGTGGAGATAAAAACACAAAAAAAACAGAAAAATTATAGGCAAAAATGAAAAAAAAAAAAAAAATTACCACTTCTAAAAATAAAGATTTTTGATGTGGAAGTTATTTATAGTTTTGACATAACTAGTTATAATTATTAGGTCAAATTAAGTTAATTATTAATAATTAGTACTTTTTTCTGTATTTTTCCAAGGTGATTTTACAAAACAAAAAAACATCTGTAAGATAATCAATTGGGGTTTTTTGGGTTTTTTTTTAAATGCTAAAAAACAAAACAAAAAAAAACCAACTAACTTTTTACAATGCACTCAGCAGGGAAAGCATGTAAACTCTATTTGTGCACATGTGCAGTGACTTTTTTGTTCTGTATAACATCTCAGCTATCAGGCTGGAGTCTATCCCAGCTGACTTAGGGTGAAGGCAGGGGACACCCTGGACAGGTCACCAGTCTATCACAGGGCTACACTTAGAGACAGACAACCAAGCACACTCACATTCACACCTATGGACAATTTAGAATCACCAATTAACCTCAACATGTTTTTGGACTGTGGGAGGAAGCTGGAGAACCCGGAGAGAACCCACGCTGCACGGGGAGAACATGGAGACTCCACACAGAAAGATCCCGGTGCCCCCACCGGTGACCTTGCTGCAAGGCAACAGTGCTACCAACTGCACCACTTTGCAGCCCATCTCAACTCTAATTTATAGCATTTTTAACATGTAATGTCTTTTTTAGCACAAGTTTTATTTTGTTTAGCAGCTTTCAATGTGAATAAACTGCCACAATCCCCCTGCTGTACTATCGGTCATTGACTTTTTGCTCGACTGCTTCCGCTGCTGCTTTATTCTTAAAACATGCACAGTCAGTCATGAAAACATGCAGAGGAAGTTTCTATTTGTGTAACCTTTACCCCACTACAGTTTGGACAGTGACAACTGCCAACTCACTGCGGTCTCTGAGGAGGAAGGTGAACAGTTGCTCTAAACAAAATCAGTGTCAACGTTTTGGAACAGTTAACAGTGAACAGAGGTTTAATGCTGTAGGAGGTTTTACAGACACAGATCAGCGCACATCTCTCTGAGTGAGGCTGCAGGTAATCATGTTAAGAGTCTTTTGCATAATTACTTGTTGCACCCTTTAAGGCAGAGTCTCCTCCCACAGCTAAAGTAGCGCCAAGGTAATTGATTTCTTTTGGCGGTGGTTAATGAAAATAAAGACACCATTAACCCTATTCAGGACTTTCATGTTGCCATACGTAGAAGGTCTTTCGAGGTCCATTGGACCCAAGTAAAGAATATGTGCAAAATATTTGTTGGTATTCATTATAGACTTTTTTACTATGTTAAATACATTGTCAGATAAGTTGACATATTTTTAGTTCCAAATGCATGACAAATGTCCCTCTTCTTATATTTAAAAAAAAATCTTCAAAAAAAAAAAATAAAAAAACCTGTCACCTTCACCAAATGGCCTGGGGTCCAAAAGACCCCAAAAGTCCTGAATAAGGTTAATGGAAAAAATGCTGATATTGGCCCTGATACTTGTTTGATTCCTAGTATTAATAATGGCTGTACTCCACTTTGGCATGCCCCAACTTTTGTGGATGTGGGGTTAATGTCAGGGCTTGTCCATAAGCATCATTGTGCACATAAAGACATGACGCTAACACATCATCCATCCATCCATTATCTATACACCGCTTAATAGACTAGGGTTGGAGGAGGGCTGGAGCCTATTCTAGCTGACTTAGGGTGAAGGCAGGGGACACCTTGGACAGGTCGCCAGTCCATTGCAGGGCTACACTTAGAGACAGACAACCAAGCACACTCACATTCACACCTAAGCACAATTAAGATTCACCAATTCACCTCAAAATGTTTTCAGACTGTCTGGGAGGACACCAAAGAATCCAGAGAGAACCCACACTGCACGGGGAGAACATGCAAACTCCACGCAGAAAGATCCCAGTTGTCCTCACTGGGACACGAACCGGCAACCTTCTTGCTGCGAGGCAACAGTACTAACCACCTTCCACCTTGCAGTCAGCAAAAAACAAGTAATATTAATAAACCAAGGAATCTCTGCTTCTGTGTTTGTTCTGTGCATATTCGCAACCAAACATCCAATCTACTTTGAACATGGCAAGTTTTACTTGTAGACCAGAGGAAGTGCAGAGTGGAGTGGCTACAGAAAGGCTGCAACAACTCAGCGACTCAGTAACAACGTCATTTATGACAAGAAAGCTGTGTTGCCAAGATTGACTCCAGAAAACAAGCAGCAACTAAAAAAAACTTGACCACAATCATCTAAAGTGTGGTGCTCTGTAAGGTCCGAAAGGCACGCTATCATACGCTGTAAATGCAACAACAGTATAAAGAGGAGCAAGTTTCACACATTCAGCATGGTGAAATGTATTTCTAGAGTAGTTGTGCAGAGTAGTGAGAAAAACGTAGGGTGTTGATGCTGTTAAAAATATAGTGACATATCTGTAGTATGCAGAGCTACCTTTTTTTTTTTTTAGAATTGTCCAAAATCTCTTGGCATGCTGAAGCATTCAGAGTTCCTTTCACTGGACCTAAGGGGCCAAGCCCAGCTCCTGAAAAACAACCCCACACCATAATCCCCCTCCACCAAACTTTACACTTGGCACAATGCAGTCAGACAAGTACCGTTCTCCTGGCAGCCGCCAAACCTAGACTCGTCCATCAGATTGCCAGATGGAGAAGCGTGATTTGTCACTTCAGAGAACGCGTCTCCACCGCTCTAGAGTCCAGTGGCGGCGTGCTTTCCACCACTGCATTCGACACTTTGCGTTCCACTTGGTGATTAATGGCTTAATAATTGAAACCCATTCTTAAAACCCATTCCATGAAGCTCTCTACACACTGTTCTTGAGCTAATCTGAAGACCACATGAAGTTTGGAGGTCTGCAGCGATTGACTGCAGAAAGTTGGCAACGGATGCGGATGCTGAGGCAACGGATGTGCCTCAGCATCCGCCAACCCCGCTCTGTCAGTTTACGTGGCCTACCACTTCGTGGCTTAGGTGCTGTCATTCCCAATCACTTCCACTTTGTTACAATACCACTGACAGTTGATGTGGAATATTTAGGATCAAGGAAATTTCACAACTGGATTTGTTGCACAGGTGGCATCCTATCACAGTACTGTGCTGGAATTCACTGAGCTCCTGAGAGCGACCCATTCTTTCACAGATGTGTGTAGAAACAGTCTGCATGCCTTGGTGCTTGATTTTATACACCTGTGGCCATGGAAGTGATTGGAACACATGATTTTGTTTATCTGGATGTGTGAGTGAATACTTTTGGCAATATAGTGTATATTGATTCCATTTTTTAATCTTAACTTTCATTTTGTCTTTTTTATGATTTATCGCATTCTAATTGTGTCATACTGCACAGAAGACATCCCTGAGTTCTCTCTACCTCTAGTCATGATTGTGCTGTTGCCATAGAGGTGTAAATCTTTATATTGCAGTGACAAATGAGCCCACAATAAGTAAAAATGTGACAGAAACATAAAGGGCCAAGAACTGCTCGGAGTGAGTATGTCGCTGCAGGCCGATGAAGATTAGTTTTCACTGACACCACTACTCGCACGTATGTTTCGTTTTACAAAAATCTGTGCCCCTGAGGACAAATTCAAATTTTCAAATGACACACATGCAGTCAAACACACACATAAATCTGTACCGTACCTTGTGTACATTCCTGGGATTCTCCAGCCACGCGTAGTACATCTCCTCTACATAGTTGGAGCTGGTGCCATTAAGGAAGGGCTCAGCAGCCACAGATGCATTCAGGCGCCTCGCGGGCTGAAAAGTTCTCGAGCCCCCTTTGACCACTACTGTTCTGTGCTGCGATCGGCTCTGAGCTGTCTGCGCAGCTGTTAGAGGCTGAAGCCTCGCCACTGTAGTCCTTAAGCGATGCATGGCTGTAGGTCAGCCACAGCTCCTCTAACCTCCCTCCCTGGGTGGATGAAAAATGCAGCAGTTCTGTCCAAGAACAAGGAGACCCTCCAGGATCCTCAGCAGCTGCCGGTCTCGCTCCTCCTGTCTGGATGAACCGACGAGGTGGGGAGCTGGGGAGCTTCTCCACAAATCCTTTTCCTCTCCTGACCGCACACCAGGTCCTGTTTAATCTAAATGCACATCAAACACAGATGTTGCTATCGATATTCTCTATCTGTGTTAGTAACAAGTCATAAAACCAATTGCATTAGTATGTCTTTGACTCAAATTACTCAGCAGCACCCAGTAAAGAGATGAATATTAAAAAATACCAGTTACAAATATTTAGTTTCACTTTTACAAAAGCTTTTAGTTGCTCTTGATATTTTTTTTATTATTTTATCTTTGTTTTATTTTAGAAACTGACTGTACAAGGTGCCGTCCTGATTTGTGTTTTAGTATTATATATTCTTTTATTTCAAAAGTTTTTATTCTTTTTTCTGTCTAGCTTTTGCATCTGTTTTTGTTGTTAACTGTCCTATACCATGTACAGCAGTATAGGACATGCTATAGAAATAAACTTGATTTGATTTGGAAAAAATATGTATTGTAAGTGACCTAACAAACAAGAGGAAGCAGAGACTTTGGAGGGAGTTTTCTTCTTTAAGTCTTTTTTTGTACTTAAAAAACTGGTTAATCAACATCAAAATAGTTGGCAATAAATGCAATAGTTGACAAGTAATCAATTTATCAGTGATTTGTTACAGCTGTCATTAGATAGGATCAAATCAACATTGGTTTTCATGGGGGTTTTTTTTCCTGCGAAGAGGTTTTAACTAGTGGCAAAACGATAAGATATAGGGAGAATAAAATATGTTTATGCAATTTTTAACCGGTTCTGTTAATGGAAGTTTCTTCTACTCAAACACAATAGACATTTTGGTTTATCTACTGGTCAGCAATAACAGGAAAACACAGATTTCTGTCAAATAGGGTACCACAGACTCATTGTTTTGACTGTGCAAACTTATCATGCTTACTGCCCTGCATCAACATCCGTCAAAGTACAATTCACAGCAGCTTTTTCTGAGCTAATGCAAAGGTCATATGAACCCCTCCAGTTCTGTAACCTTATCTTAGTTCTCAGTATGTCCACGTCAGATAATAAAACTCAGAGCAGACCAGTACAGTAGGTACTGTGCAGCCTAACTACAGCAGCACCACCACTGGGGAGCCTCCGTGTCGTAACCATAAAATCTGGAGGCAGTTCACCCCAAATCATACCCCCCAAATAAAGATTTCCACCACTGAAGGGCACATCTGTTAAAAGCTGAAACCCCTAAAAAAATTGTATATTTATATTGTATTAATCTTTCTCCCAATATATTTCATTATTTGACTAAAAAAGGTCAGAAAATAGTTGCAGTTTCATGTGTACCCACGATCTAATAGTCCTGTTCAACCACAAGCACAAAACTGGAAAATGTAAAATACGTAATTTTATATTTCAAATGTATGTACTTCTATTTTTGACCAATATATGAGTAGACCTGAAACAATTATTTGATTATTTGTCAACTATAAAATTAACTGCCAGCTCTTCTGATAATGGATTAATCAGTTTGAGTACTTTTTTTTTGAGACAAAAAGTCTAAAGCTCTGTGATCGCAGCTTCTTAAATGTGAATATTTTTTGGTTCTTTCTTCCGCTAAGAGAGTAAACTGAATATGTTTGGAAATGAAACAAGAACAAAACATCTTGGTCTTTAGGAAACACTGATAGACATTTTGTACCATTCTCGACATTTAAAAAATACAACAACTTGCAGATTTATTAAGAAAATTGTGGAAATAAGTGTTAGCAGCGGCCATATTGGAAACTATGTGTTTAACCTGTCATTTTAAAACATTGTCATATCATCCATGGTGTCACATGCATTAAAAAAACAATCTGTCAGACAAATGTAGCTGAGTAGAAAACACGACATTTCCCTCTGAAATGGGGTTATGTGGAATGAAACGGTAGCAGAAAAAGGAAATAATCAATTTAATAATAAATAATCTTTAAAACAAAGTTTGTCATATGGGTTTTGAAAAACACAGCTCAACATGTTTCACAATTTTCTGACATTTTGTAGACCAAACAGCGAATTTATTAATTTGGAAAATAATCAACAATGGAAATAAGTCCTAAACATGAACAATGTTAAGTATTGTGACCTTAACAAACAAATAAATGAGCAAAATAGATCATGGAAGTTTCAAACCCATTTTTTACTTGATTCATTTTGATAGTGTAACTTGAACAATGAACTGCAAAGAACTACACAAACCACACAGCCCAAGATCGAGACATTTCCATTGTAAATTGATGCAAAAGAGGCACAAAGTGATGCACAACTCTGAAATGTTTGCTTTCAGAGGTTTATCTCATATCTTCAGCTTATCAGACAGAGATATGTGTTATATATCCTGAAGTGCAGAAAGTTTTAGAGATGAGATATTAAAGTCCAGAGGTTTGTGTATTAATTAAACACATTTAAAAAGGTTAGTTACTGCCATAAACAGAGGACAGAAGAGAAAATCAGACCTACGGTGTGTGTCATCAGAGGTAACATTAAATGAGAAATCTACAGGGGAAAACATATTTGAAAGAAATAAAGATCGCCTAGAAGCCTTACTATATTGTTAACTGGGACGTGGCTTTGCTTCACACACATTACCAGCATAAACTGGTGCAGAAAACGAACAAATTAGAGCAGAAAAATCAAACAATGCAGGAAAGTGTTTTAAAATGTCCTGCAGCAGGACGACTACACTGTGTTTAATGTAATAGAATTTTTGGGTTAAACCTTGTAAAGGAACAAATGACCTGTTATGTAAATATACATTTTTGATATTGTTTACAGTTTATCGCCTGTTTAGCTTGTAAACCAACACGTGCTTTCTAGGATTTTATTAATCCCAAAGAACACAATTTATTAATTCACAAGTAATAACTAATAATAACTGTGAAAGTTTTGTTTTTTTGTTGTTGTTTTTTATTTTTTTAGCTTGAAGCAGCTCCGAACTGTAACCTGTAATCATTTACATGTATCGTCGCTCCGCAGTCACAGTAAAACTCTGAGCTCTCACATTTTCAGCACAGTTCTCTGGTCCGGACCGTCACGTGCACGACTCTACAAACTCTGACAGGCTAAAACAAAACAAAACAAACATTCAGCAGTAGCTTAAACTCAGACACGTTCCTAACCTCTCCGTTACCGATCGGACTTACCGGAGCTGTCACGGTTCCCTCTGCAGCCTCTCGTGCAGTACAACACAGTGAGCGCGAGCCAAATGCAGCTGAGCGTGTCGCGCGCTGTCTCATCGCTCCGGTGCTGACCTGCACCACGCCGGTCGGCGACGTCATCGCGTACACATACAGCGGTTGCGTCAGAAAAATATGGATTTTGTTGTTTTTGTTGAACGTGTTGAACACAAGTCACAAGTTGGAGCGAAAAATAAATGGTTCAATTGTGCAAATCAATGGCACTTAATAACGTAACTAACTTGACGCGTTACTTTGCACGTAGTAGGATATATGTTTCTTATTTTCCAGAAACATTAAATTACATCACTTAAAGTGTAAAGTCTCGTAAGTTACAATAATGAATCCAATCAAACTTTAACAAACTGAAATCTTTGAGCGCTCATCTCATGAATTTGCGCCCAGGCTCCTGCATCTCTGCATGCTGCTGGCAGCTACTGTCATGTTAATGTGTGTTCATGTGGTTCTGGCAGTAGGACTCCACTGGTGATGCAGATGAAGTCATTGTGATACTGAAGACCAAGAGATACGGAGACACTGACACATTCTTCAGGTGGTGGCTCACTTTCTCACTTTCAAAGCAACTCCATTATCCTGTAAAACCTGTGAGTTCTCTGAGGATCTCTGAACAGCAGCCACACAGGACAAAACATGCTACAACACACTGGTCAAGCACCTCTGCATCCAAAATGAACAACTTTACTTACAGCATACAGGAGAAGTGAGTAGACCCCCGTGTAATATCATTTAAATGTCAAATGATTCTAAATTGCATCACTCCACAGTAATCAGATTATTTCTGTGAACAACAGTAGAGTATTTGTTGTGATGATGATTTTGGTGTGTCCACAGACATTCACGGTTCATCTATAAATGTTATCTCTCCCACCTTTGTGCTTCACTGTCAGGACTATCCATTCATTGTGGTTGTCCTGATCAGGTGCACAGCAAAACAAATGCTGCACCCCATTTGAGTTAAGTAAATGTATCTTGTTTCATTTTTTCTTGAAGTTCACACTGTCTGAACTATCACAGAAACTCTGATTTCCATCCATAACCCCTGTATCAAGCCTGAAGCAGTTGCCTGTCTGTTCACAGCTTGAATGTGAAATTTTAGGGGGCGTTATTTTAGGAGGACGACCACTGCAGCTCTGATTAGTGGTACTATGGCTCGTTCTCCACCTCCTGATTACAGTTGTAACTGTGTTTCACAGATTTTGAGTGGCTCACTGATCTTCCTGCAACCATTCCCATCTTTATTAAGCTTCACAATTTATTTTTTCATGCAATTCTTTTCCACGTGGAGCCACGATGCAGACATGCACACAGTCTACAGGTCCAGAACAGAAAGTTCTGCTGTTCAGAGCTCATTGTATAACCATGTTCATGAAGTCAGGATAATTGTAAATCACAGGATTGCTCCATTTAGTTTCAGTAATCACAACTGTATTCACTTTTGTTGCATTGAGTTTTTCCACATTTTTCATATGATTTTTGTGAAGATTCTGATTTTAATTGTTCATCTGAGGACACATTCTACGGTTTAACTCGGAAAAAGGTGGGACCAGTGTTTAATCACAGGGGCACATTAAAAAAAATGACAACAATGATATTTAAGCACTAAAATTTTTTTACTTTATATTACTATTAAGCAAATGCTTTGTTTTTTTTTTCTGTTTTTTTTTACAAAAAATACATCAACTGAAACAATGAGGGTAAGGGTAACAATAAACATAATAACAATAA